GTTAGTTGGTAACGATAAGCGTTTTTCACCTAATTGCGACGTAACGGAAGCGGAGGAGGAGGAGGAGGAGGGGGAAGGAAAAAAAAGAGGGTACACGTTCCTCACGTGCATGCAAATCCGCGAAACCGAAGGAATAAGAAACGACTCGGAGAAACAATTACCACCGGTGCCGTTCGTTATACTTATTGCACATCCGAAAAATTAATTTGCATAACCAGCCCTAACGGCGGCTCATAAATAACAATTGCCCCCTTGTGGGAGTGCCCGCAATCATCACGAAAGGCACCGAGACAACAGCGAGTCGAGACTCGTACACGTTGCGTATACACACAAGAAGTCCGGGAGAAATGAAAAAAAAAAAAAAAAAAAGTACAACGGGGCGAAATCTGCATATAATACACGCGGGTCGCGTAATACACATAGATCAAGTAGCTTTGGAATTTTCTCGCGTTCGCTTACACGCGTGTGTGTGTGTGTTCGAGGGAATCGGTCCCTCGGAGGAATAACTTTCGCGTTTAAATTTCGCCGCGGCACTTTGCGCGGGTGATTTAGTGCTCGTCCGTCGGCGGACGTGAATTAGCGAATTTCTCGCGCGTCCAGCTGGTTATTTTCTTCTCTCTCTCTCTCCCCCCCTGCTTTCGGTTTCTCCCGGGTATTTAGCATATACGTAACGCGCGCCCGGTACGATCGTTAAGCGATGATATTACGTTCAGTCTATTTATATACCTTCCGCTACACCTGAACCCTTTCCCCCCCCCGCACGGGTGTATTATTAACCATCGGGAAATCGCACCCTGCCTATAGCCATTGGTTTAACTTCGAGCGTATATTCTTGCAATTCCTCTTTATGGGGATTATTTGGATGAAAAAAAAAAAAAAAATGATCCATTAAAACTCTCTCGATCCCTCTTCCGAGCGCGCATCTCGTGACCCATTTCTGGGATCGACTGCAGCTTCTTTGGCGTACAAAGCTGGGGCGTCAAGTTTTTCACTTTAGCCCTCAGATGCGCTTCCTTTGACACTTTTTAGCAATTTTTCTCAACGATGCTCGAGTGCTTCCCCTTGACTTGACACGTGCACGGAAAATTTATGTGCTGTTCACGAGATAGTGATCGTTTGAAGACTTACTCGGAATTTTCGGGGGTTGAAAAGATAATCGGCGCGAAATAATAATAAACGAAAGCAACGCAGGTGAAACCGCGAAATTTCGTTGTTTGACGGAGCACCGAGCTTTGGGACCCGCAACAAGAGAGACGCTCCGGAATGCAAATGATCAATCAACCAGTTGTAAATCACCGTGACGCGACTCTGCCACTGTTGCGTCTCCCTTTGCTTCGGGTACCCACACGTATTTACACCCCCAGCACGTTTCGGATGCCGCCTCTCTTTGCTCGGGAAAGAAATGCCGGATGGTGGCGATTGTCTCCTCTTTGGTGCGCTCGGTATCTTCAATAATGCAAACTATGTTGCAAGCAGAGGGTCGGGCGACAGCTATTGCACTCAACTCCGTTCGGGGTTTGATACGTGGGAGCTTTTTTTTCTCGCCCCGAGTAGTCGACAACTTCGCTTATACTCTCCCCCGCGAGGAGGTAATTCGATTTAATTCGACGAGCCTTTCGTCTGATCGCGAAAAGTTTTCCCGAGTCTATACGGCCTGGGAAAAAGGGGTGGAAGCTGCACCTATACATGTTTCAGTGCACGGCTGTCGCTGGGGTCAAAATGTTGGAGTCACCCCGTTTTACGAGCAAGCTCGGGAGCGAAGGGTATTTGGGCTCCTCCTCGAAAATCGGAGTTTTTGGGTCTTTGACACTTGCCTCTTTGGACGGAGTCAGCTGCGATACGCGAAACGAGCGGAGATTAGAGAAAAAAAGGAGGAACCGAAGAAAACGTTTTTATTTTTTCCGTACGCCAACGACTACTACTGTTGTTGCCGAGCGGCTGATGTCTCCCGTCGAGCGACTATGAGTTTCCGGTGTAATTTTTTCGGACCCTCCCTGGGAAGGAGATATTTACACGCAAGCCACGTACGAAGTGCTCCAGAGGGAGTATAGAAGGAGGAACTCGTCGAATTCCGTATTTCGGCAATTTTTTTTTTTTTTCCCCCCCATCACGCCCTATTTCACTCGGAGAGGCGGGCACTTTGGTGACGGAATTGTAAATTCAATACTCGAAAATGCGAACCGAACAATTTGCAAAGATCGCGACGACTTACAACAACGAAAAACCAATCTATAGTTGATAGGGAAACGGGACGTGTATTATATAGAGCGACGACCGGAAAGGCATATCTTCCAACCTACGGTGCGTCACTTGGGCGGCAAAATGTCTCTCCGCTACCATTTTGGAATCCCATACTTTCAACGAGTTTAAATGCACTCGAGTCCTTAGGTTTCGCTTGTTACGAGGGCTCACAAAATGTATCAGCTGCGCGACAGTGCATAGGCATCGCTTGATCCAGCTCACGGGACCCCACACCCTCCGGTCTGACGCGCGTCTGGCTCTTCTTCCAACTCGAGGCTTGTCTCTCCCGGCTGAAGGACAGCTCGCCGAGGCTCCGATAACAGGCCGAGTCCCTCCTGAGCGATGGGCCCCGCTAAGAATATTTTCCTCCCCCTCATCCTCTGCACACGCTGTACGGAAAAAAGAGGAAGGAATAGGCGTGGGTACGTACAAAAGAGGGAGGGAGGTTTCGCTCTGCCGGGGGAAGAAAGTGAATAGAGATGTATGCAGGACGGGGGCCAAATTTCCGAGTAAATGGAGCGAGTCGCTCTGCAGCGCCGGAATACGACTTGGGCGGGGAGACTCTTTCTTTTTTTTTCTTTTTTTTCTTTTTTTTTTTTTTTTTTTTCCCTACCGCAAGGAGTTTCATCATTTCGATTTCGTTTCGTAATTTTTTCTCATACATCCACGCAGTGACGAAAGATGCGATCGGAAAGCCACGAGTGCGAATTGGAAAAAACAATTTACCCTTCCCCGGAGATACTAAAAAATACGTACTAAAAAAAAAAAAAAAAAAAACAATGAAAGTAAAGACAATGTTATTCAAAGCGCGGCCCCTCTCATTATTATCGCGTCTGCGACTCGGCCAAAGTGGGCACACGAGGGACTCGTTAGAGCTCCGAGAGTCAAAGAAAAACGCGGCTGCCCTTTAATTAGCTTCAAACACCGGTGTACGCGGCCCTTTTGTCTCTCACTCCGAAGTAAAATAGACTCGTCGCCTTTGTCCCGAAGAGTAGAAGAGCTAAGGCCGGCGGAGAGCGTATAGGCATCGGTCTTTTTTTTTTGGTTTTCCTTCACTCGTTGGTAGAACGGCCGTAAAACAATTTGCGTGCCCCACTTGAATAAAAATTCCATATCCCATAGTGTTATACACATGCGCGGAAATGAAAAAATACGCGCTAATGGGTGGTTTTAATGTATGTAAATAACACGTGGTAATTCCCACGTATGCGGCACGGTGTTACGCGAAGAATGCGTTGACGCGAAAAGTTCGTGCAGCTGCACGGCTGAATACTACTTATGCATTGGACGATTTTCGTTGTTTTACGCCGGCGCGGGAGCTCGAAACAATATCCGACCGCGACCTGCAACTCGCACAATTGACTGCAGCGATAAACTTCGCAAAAAACAAAAAAAAAAAAAAACCGAAGGCACGATGAACATTTATCCGAAAAGCTGTCCAAAATATAGTGAATCGACGAGGAGGAACTTTCAATTTCGTTCCTTTGATTCGTCGAGCGGAGCACAACCCATCGCGGTGGCATGAATGGAACGGATGAAACGGGGCGCCGCACCACCTACCGCTCCACCCGAAGGGGCCAATCAATACCGCGACGTCGAGTCCTTCGGATTCCTCCACCTCCTCTAGATCTTCTTCTATTTTATTTCCGCTTCTCCCTCCAATTTTTCTTCCTCATTCGATTTTCAGGTGCACACACGGTTCTCTTCAGTTATCTCTTTTCAAAGCCCCTTACGATGCTTTATGACTCTTTTTTTTTTCTTTCTTTCCCACCCCCTTGCTCCGCGGGCGCGAGTGACCTTGTTTTTTTTTTTTTTTTCAAATCAATGCATCCCTGAACTCAAAGTCGAATCTTATAATTTAGGGGCGAAAATATTAATGGCGAGTCGAGCAATACATTGGATAAAGTTTCCCGGCTCTTGTTTTAAACCGCGTTTCAGCTCGGAGGACGGGGATTTTAAAAGTTTTACGGCGCCAAGCAATTTTTTTTTTTTTTTTTTTTTTTTTCATNTCTGTGGATCCCTCTCCTTTTCCGGGCGATTAAAGCCAAGTGGCAGTGATTTTTTCCCCCCTTTTTCTCGGAAACGTGTCATCTCTTGCAATCTTTTTTGGGGAGGGATGAAAAAAAAAAAAAAAAAAAAAAAAAAAAGTAAAAAAATTTCAAGCCCCAAAAAAAAAAAAAAATTCCGGAAAGCGGAGAAATTTTTTTTTTTGGGAAACACTGCATACTACCACCTTCGTCAAACTAGAGAGAAGAACAACTGTATGCTTATCCAACAAAATCGCGTTGAAGATGAGCACTTGTGTTCCAAATGAAAAAAAAGAAAATTCGAATTCCATCGTGGAAAATAATTCAACGCGTCACTGCATTCCTTTAAGTACTTACCCCAGGTACTCGAAGCCCCGTACAGACTCACGCGGTGAGAATACACGTGCACGGCGTCGTAATTTCGTTAGCCTCCACTCGAGCAATCGCCCGCCAAGCGGAATCTTAGGCCGCTATGGATTTTCTCTCGTCGAGCCGGCTCGAGTGTGTGTTGTTCGGGTGACCACTGCCAGGGGCTCGAGTGCGTCTGCGAAAATCGAGATAATTGCCCCAGAAATTGTTTGCTTCGATTACTTTCGCTACAGCACGCCGTTAAGCTCATAGTAAAAATGTAGGAAAATAATAAGGACCCGTCCCTATTCAAAGCGCGTATCTTTTTGGTGCACCTTTCGCTCGGACACGCGTCGATTCGATGAGTATTTTTTTTTTTTGCAGGAGATCGCGGCGATACTGATAAGCTTCCAGAGGCACGCGGAATGGCAGAGCCGGGAGGTGAAGGTGAGACCGAGGAGCGGCTCGATGCTGCTCTACTCGAGGAAAAAGGTTCGCTATCGGCGAGACGGTTACTGCTGGAAGAAGCGAAAGGACGGGAAAACCACGAGGGAGGACCACATGAAGCTAAAGGTGACTTTTCACCCTTCCTCCGTATACACTTGATCCCAGAGAGTAAACCCGATCCCGAGATTCGTGTGAGCTGAAATATACATGTATGGAAGCTCGAGCTCTATCGCGTTTTTTGTTGGTTCAAACGCTTATCTCGAGTTAATCAAAAGTTCCTCTCTTGGTAAGTATAATACACCGATACACAGGGGGTTAGCTGAAATAATATCTCGAAAGAAAGCAACGAAGAAAGGAAGGAAGAAAGAAGGAGCTGGCCAAAGTTATATGAAATGTTTGGACTACGTAATTCGGCATTAGCATAAAATCGAACTCGATTACGCGCACAAGCCAGCCGAGATTCTCGGACTTGAAATATCCTGTTGTCCTACAGAAAGTCTCTCCCTTTCCTCGGGTTAACCTACTAAAATTAGATGATGTTTCCCGTGCATTATACCCCACCCCCATTTCTATCTTTGCATTTTTTTACTCCCCGTTCCAATTACTTTATTTCCTGTAATAAAATAAAAAAAAGCATCCAAAACGTGTATATTTACGATGAGCAGGTCCAGGGCGTGGAGTGCATATACGGCTGCTACGTGCACTCGGCGATCCTGCCGACGTTTCACCGGCGCTGCTACTGGCTCCTCCAGAACCCGGACGTTGTGCTCGTCCATTACCTGAACGTGCCGTACCCGGATGGTGACGCGAAACTGGCCGCCCTGCCCCCGTGCCTGGCCTTGCCACCCGACAAAAAGGAGTGGACGCGCGACGAGCTCGCCTCCCAACTGCGGCCCATGTTCCTCGGGAGCGAGGAGCCCGAGCAGCCCGCCAACGGCCAACTCCACCATCACCACCAGCAGCAACAACACCAGCCCCACCCGGTCGACATGATAGTCTCCCAACTGTTGGACAGGCAGCAGCGCGCCTCCTCGGCCGGCTCGAGCACTGCTGCCCAACTCGCCCCACGGAGGCTCACCCCCGACAATCAGGTACACCATCCTCCAGTTTCCCTTTGACTCGCACCCCCCACCCCCCCGAGCTCTAGCAGCAACTGTTGGAAAAGTAGTGGTAGTTTTGGTAGTAGCAGTAGATGAAAGCCTCTCGCGCGTATATTATACGCGTACTATAATATACGCAGGTCTCCTCGACTACCGGAGGTCAACAGCCGAGCACGACGGCCTCGACGACTCCGCGGGTTTACTCGAGACATTCCCACTCGACTAGCACTCCGGGCCAACAGCAGCCGGCTCCTCTAGTATTAAGTTTGCAGCAGATCCAGGGCGGCGGTGGCCTCCTCATCCTCAACAGCCAGCCTTACCACCACCAGCAACAACAGCAGTGCGCCCAAGCCCAGAACCAGCAGGTGGACATGCACCAGGACCAACACCACCACCACCACCACCAACAACAACAACAACAACAACAACACCAACAGCAGCAGAGGGGCATCGTTCAGCAGCAGACGAGCATCGACCGCGAGCAGCAGAGCCAGCAACACGACATTGACTCCAAGGACGGCAGTAGCCACGGGTATATATGCGCATCCACGTACGTGTATGCATCTTGGGCGGATCTTTGTAATATCATGGGTGTAATTCTCAGGAGCAGCGGTATAGTCGCCGACTGTGGGTCCCAGGTGGTGGGCGGGGCGCAAGGGGCTGGCAATTGCGCGGCTTCGGACTTTGCCGAGTCGTTGGAGCTGTGCAGCCAGGAGGACATCCAACGGACCCTCTCGGCCAACATGGTCCACCCGTCGCCGTCTCCCTCCCCCGCCGACAACAGCATGATCGACCCGATGGACTTTATCGACTCGTCGGACGACGTGCTCGTCAACCTCGACGTCTTCGACATGTTCAGCGACCTGCCCGAGCTCCACGACTTTGAGCCCGAGCAGCCCGACAAGCCCGACGACCCGAGGATCGCCGAGCCGGGGCGGGACGGGCACTGCCGGCAGACGAGCGCGGCCCGCATCACCGAGTACAGTCCCGAGTGGAGCTACACGGAGGGCGGCGTCAAGGTCGGTCTTTGTGCGGGTGGGATGAAATACGGGGGGGCCCATATTTTTCCTCAGCCCAAACAATACGACGCTTGCACAATAAAAAAAAAGTCGCTATTAATTACACGGGTCTCGTCGCGCATACACTTTTGTTGCGGGGGGATGTGGCGCGAGAAAACAATTTACAAGACCGTAATACGCGCATTAGTCAGCAGCCGTCCGGGGGTAAAGGAAGGGGTAATTATCGGCAAGCCGGTGATTAACGGGCCTCGTTAATATCGTTAAAGCGGCGAGGGCATTTTCGACTTTCTTTCCGTGCCGAGGGCCATTTGTTACAGTTTTAGCCTCCCCCGCGACCTTTGCCAATTTGTCATTTCCCGTTGAATCTTCATAGCTGGAGGTTGTTTTTTCCCCTCCCCACACCTTTTCTTCAAAAACCGCACGTGATTTTCCACATCGATCGGCAAATACTTGTATGGAATAATTTTCATAGTTATAAGTTACACCCATAAATATAAAAGACCAAAGTTTATGGCCCATTTGCATCGGCCATCTCCGAGTGAAATACGCACAACACGCGTATCTCGTGAACTTTGTGAATTTCAATTCTCTCCCCACGGGTGATATATTATACCCACTTGATGGTAATAATCATAATTAAGGATATATACCAACGTGTACCAAAGGAAAGGGGAGTAAGAATTTACAAACTGATAACCCGTAAGCATGACGCGGAGCTAGTGTTACGGCTCTGTTTACGAGAGCTCCGTCATTCACGGAGACTCAATGGGAACGATGGAAGGGATGGAAGAAAATAAAATGATGGGGTCGTCGTCAGGTGTTGGTGGCGGGCCCGTGGACCGGTAACAGCGGCTCTCAGTCGTACTCGGTGCTGTTCGACAACGAGCCGGTCGAGGCGTGCCTGGTGCAGCCCGGAGTGCTGCGCTGCCGTTGTCCGGCTCACGCGGCCGGACTGGCCTCGCTGCAGGTTGCCTGCGACGGCTTCGTCGTCTCGGACAGCGTGGCCTTCGAGTACCGCAGGCCACCCCCGAGCGAGCCCAATCCCGAGAAAGCTCTGCTCGACCGGCTGGCCGACGTCGAGACGAGGCTACAGGGGCCCGGGCCACCCTCACCCGCCGCCCAACTCGAGGAGAGGCTCGTGGCCTACTGCCAGGTACGTTTCACACTGTTTTTCACAATACCACATGTGTGTCGAACAATGGGTGTTGTGATATTATATCGTTATCGGTGTGCGTTGACCCCTTGATGCCCGACACTCTCTCTCTCTCTTTTCCCTACTCTCTATGTGTATATATTACTACCTTTGTCGACTCTTGAACTACTTTGGTGTTGTTTATCAACTTTCTTTTTTTCTCTTCTTCTTCTTCTTTTCCTTTCGTTGTCTATACTATAGTATATATATATATAAATGTCCTTTGTTAACACATGTATTATACAATATTAAACAATGTTGGTGTTGTTTTTGAAACATTTGTGTGTATATTTATTTATATATGTTGTGTCGATGTTTATCTGTATAAATATACTTCATCCATTCGATCATCCATCAACGTTTCATTTCACGCGATGCATTGTACAATACGGACGTGCAAAAATTTAATAAAACGCGAGATTTCATGGTGGGCTTACCTTTCTTCAGGCTATGGTAACTTTCTGGGTCGAGTAAGTGCCGCAGTCGTGTAATAAACAGCGGGACAGAGGGCAGATCGGGTATCGAAGGGGTGGCCCCCGTTGTAGCTGATGTTGGCAATGTCGATGTGGTTTACGATGATCGTACGCACGTTAGCATCATCATTGTCGCACACTTACACCTAAATATATGTGCAGTGAGAAAAAAAAAAAAAAAAAAAAAAAAAAAAGAAGTAGAAAAATTTTGTGTCCCGGGGCTCGATATTTCAGAACAATGGCTGATGACGGTTTTTTTCGACCCACTCCCCGCCTCTCTCTTTCTCCTGTAACGTCGCATTTTTTAATTGATACTGCCTCAACAGCNCTAAATATATGTGCAGTGAGAAAAAAAAAAAAAAAAAAAAAAGAGGCAAAGGCCCGTGACGAAAAGTCTGTGTGTACAGGGATCCCTGTGAAATCGACAGACCCAGTCGTGTTATTTCACATGAGAGCCAGTCCTGCGCGTGTACTCTCCAGGCCTGGTTTGTGAAATCCCCAAACGACCGTCCTATTGGAGTTGTCGTTGCAGACGCCCGACCGACTGGCCGATAAATAAGCCATACGTCTCAGTATATTTTCCATACCGATCATCCTCCCTTCGGTCGTTTACGCAATTATCAGTAAGAATACCTATTGCTACAGCAACATCTTACAGCCTGCTATTTCTCTCTTTTAATCTCTTATATTTTCTCTATCTCTATCTCTACATATTTTTATTATACTCATCATACAATGTTGATTTCAATCTATTCTTTTTTTACTTTTTTTTTTTCATTTCTACATTCCTTTCGCATCAGTGCTACCGCTATTATTTAATATATACACTTGGGCCATGAAAAATTTCACGATGTATACATATTACCAACTGTTATCCTGGAGAGTACACGGAGAACTTTCCTGTAAAATTCCTGCATGTTCGAGGCCTCGTATACGTACCTACTTATTACACGTACAGTTGCGTAGAAAAAAACAAACAAAAAAATACTCATAGTCACAAGAAAATTTCATTTTGTCTCAACATTCTCCCATCCATCTATTCAATCACCTTTCGTATTAATTAAGACACTCAGCTTTGTCATGCACAATATAGAGAGACGTGCATGAGAATATTTCAAGTTTGCCACAAATTTGTCAAATATACGCCTTAAGGCATCATGCTTTTTTTACCTCAATTAGTTAGTTTGCTTGTAAATAGTATTTTAAATAGTATCTAAAAGTAATAAGTAGCGAGTAGTGAGCAGTGCAACGATAGACCATCAGGACGAACAACCAAGACGTGATTTCTAGAGCAAAGAAAAAAAAAAAAAAAAAACCCTCTTGCAGGACGCAACGGTAAGGCCATGGCGATCGAGCGCTGAGCCCTTGCAGTCCGGGGGCCCGACGCTGCTGCACCTTGCCGCGGGCCTGGGCTACTCGCGGCTGGCCTGCGCCCTGCTCCACTGGCGCGCCGAGAACCCCAGCCGCGTCCTCGACGCCGAGGTCGACGCTCTGCGCCAGGACTCGGCTGGCCTCACGCCCCTCGCCTGGGCCTGCGCCGCTGGCCACGCCGACACCGCCAGGATACTCTATCGGTGAGTCTTCATTTAACACGGTTTCGTGCGTTACCACTACACCAATAAACCCCATCGCGAGTCATCACCGAGAAATAACATCCGTTGTCGTATACGTGAGGTACAACTTTGGGGTGTTTATATACACCCCGTCAGGGGCGCGTGTCTGATTATGGCGTACGAAACTCTCGGTGTTTATCCGAAACGCGCCTTGTCGCGGGCTAAATTACATCACGGGGTACACGAGCGTTTCCTACTCACGCAAACGCATAGCAAGCGCGAGATCGACGTTATCAGACTCGGTGTTTATTTTGTGCAGCCAATATACATTACGTTGTATATTGTAGAGTTGGCGTGTGTGTGGTCTATTTTTGGTGCATACGGCCGAGGGGCAAGTAAATTGAAACGTTATTAACTCGATAATGCTCGGGACACGCGGTGAAGACTGCACAGTCACCCTAAACTTTTTTTTTTTTTTTTTTTTCTCTGCACGCGCGCTGCACGGCTGTGCAAATTGTACGGAGCTGCTCGCCGTGAAAATTAGCCAACTATAGCTTCGCCCGCAACAAGTGCAAACATTTTTGATGCCCCGACATTATACGCCCTGTTTTTTCATTATTATTGCAAAGTACCGTGGTCGAGGCAATGATTTTCATTTATAAAGTTAAAAAATTTCAACACTTTAGCTCAACTAGGGTAATTATTTTTTTCACCTTTTGGGCGAATTTTTTTCTTTAACATATTTGCCTACTCGTTAAAGGAGGACGGCACAAAGAGAGATCCCGTCACTCATCGAACTTTAGACGCGAGTGTTCAAATAATTGACAATTAAAAGGGGGGGAGGAGGGGTGTAAATAACACTGCAGGGAGCCAAAAAAAAAAGGGTTCAGTCACCGGGCAGGGGGTAGTCAAACACGAAAATTCGACCCCTATTTAACACCCCGTCCGACGAACGAGGCAGGGACATCGATGGTGGAGCTTGAAAGCTAAATAGCCGGTGCTTGTGTGGATCGCAGGTGGAACGCGATGGCACTCCGGGTGCGGGATTGCCGGAGCAGAAGCGCGACGGAGCTGGCGGCGGAGAATGGGCACGCCGACATCGCCGAGGAGCTGAATCTGCTCGAGGCTCGCAGGCAGGACGAGGGACTTTTCTTGAAGCCGGCCAGTCCCAGTCCCAGGAGGCCCTCCCAGGACAGTGGACTCGATCTCGCTCTCTGTTAGTGTCACGCTTTTTATCATCACTATTTCTTTTTTTTTTTTTTTTTTTTTTTTTTCAAACTCGCATACGTATATTTACATGACAACCCTTTTCACTTTTATCTCTTTCCGTTGTTGTATTTTTTCCTTCGTCGTCTTTTTTTACCCCCTTTTTAATGTGTACTTTACCAAATAACTTCGGTGTTACTGTATGGGTGTTTTAGTCTTTTTTTTTTTTTTTTTTTTCTTTCTAAATCCTAGTTGGTAAGAAACTGCTAATTTCCAGTGAATATTTATAAACGTGACAACGCCGAAAAACCCATGTTTTTATTATTCTTTTCAATAACGTTTAATCATGTAGATATTTTTCATTGCTACTAGTAATTAGTTTGTACAAGAGATTGGTAAAAGTAGCACCATATATTACAAAGTCATCGATTAAATGTTTACATGGACCTTTTCCTTTGATTTTTAACAAAACTACAATTTTAGCTCAAAAAAAATGGAATATTGTTAGTGGAGAGCTTGTTACAAGTAACTACGAGCCAATTTGAAAGTCAATGATTTGTTTTGTTTTGGCAATGACAAAAAGTAAAAATAAAAGCTAAACCAAAAAAAAACAAACAAACGAACAAACTGTGCAGGTGGTTCGCCGCTCCTGGACAATATGGAGCTGTTGCAGGACGACGATTCGTCGTTAGGCCTCGGCATGGAAAGCACCCCAAGCCCTTCGGAGTCCGTAGGTCCGTACCTCAATCTCCATCCCCTCGTTTATTAAGCATTTAGTGAATTTTTTTTTTTATGCCTATCGCTGTTGCCTGTGCGTGTAACACATAGCTGTGTATCTTTCCAAACTACTAAACTCCCTCACGGTGCTCTGTTTTACAACTGCACGAACTTTTTGCGCGTGTTTTTCGATGTCGTTGATGTTTGTATCACCTTATTCTTTTTTTTTTTTTTTTTTTTTTTCTCTCGATTGCAATACTTACTATTGTGTACCTGTACCCTCGAAGTCTTCGATCGTTAAAACTGAAAACGAAACAAAAGAAAGGAACGAGCAATAAGCCAATCGAGAAGGAAGATGACAAGTAGGGGTAATGGGTACAGTATTTGACCCCCTGATAGTGATTGATCGCCACATGCATTTTTAAATGGAGCCTTTATATATAGATATACAAATTACACAGGGGTCAATCACTACCTTAAGGTGTCAATAACTGTACCGTTTACCCCTAGGCCTGATTCGGCACGCGCGTACACAAGCGAGCCTTTGGTTAATTAAACGCGTGTGATTGCAAATCCTATATTATATCAGCTCGATGTGATTAACACGCGTGCATTGCACGTACACTGTACACGAAGCAGCAACGGGGAAGCAGAACATACATATAACATATACGTAGATATATATATATATATATATATATACCTGTAACTGTACATTGGTTTGGTGTTGCTTGGCCTTTGGTGTGTAAGCTCTATACACTTGTATCATGTCTTGGACTTAGCATTGATTGATGTGTACACGTACTCTCGCGCGTGACACAGCGTAGTCAACGTATCTCCCCTTTGATTGCATACATATACACATACATATTGTGTGTACACACGGCCACCACTGAGAAACGGCTCTGGTATTCAAGTTACGGTCAGCTGTACGCGACCCCCTGTTTCTACCTTCCTGTCCCCGATCTCGATGCATACATATACAGCGTTGGATGTACGTATACATGTAACTACAACAGAACGTTCCTGCATAGCCAGATACGAGTCAATCGAGGATTTACCACGAGAGGAGTTTCTTACTGCCTCTTTTTGTTCCACGCCCGCGCTATTGCCACTATAATTATGTATACTTGGTGTGCTTTTGTCTTATTTACTTATAGCACACACGCACACTAAACTTTATTGTTGCATTGCGTTTTGTTTAAAATGTTGAGACATTGTTTTTTTTTTTAAATAATATGAGATTGTTTCCTTATTCGTGTCCATACAAGCATTCGATGTGATTTAATTAGATGTCCACGTTTTACGCAGCTGTACAGCAGCACACGCACACAAAGTGAGAAGATCCAGCGGATGCAGCACTAAAAGAGTATTGATTTTCTTAAACACTTGCATTCACAGTAACTATATACGCACGGAAGTGGACGAGTCCAGCAAACATCAGAGAGGCAACGACTACGCCAATTAACAAACGGCACAGAGAGATGACCGTTGCAACGAAATTACAATAAAAAATTGGAATGAAAAATAAGTGTGGCAATGTTTGTGATGCGTGTTGTATGGCTCTCTCACCTCGCTGAGACAAAGCCACCCCCTGGCTGTGATTTCCCTCCCACTGTCCTCCCTCGTGTGGATTTTGATGGAAAAGAAAAACAAAAGTAAAAAAAAAACAAAAAAAAACGCATGTTGTTCAAACTTGGCTGTGACTCGTTGCTTGCAGGGGAGGAGGACGCGAGGGTCCTGACCTTGGCCGAGCAAATAATAGCCGCCCTACCCGAGAGGATCAAGCGGGAACAGTGCGATCCCCGCTCGCCTTCCCCGCCGCCAACGCCGCTCGATGCCTCCCTCATGGAACAGATGGTGAGACAAAGTTTCGTTTTCATATACAAACATTTTTCGCGTGTCTTCATCCAATTGTATACACGCCCCTGCGGGTAAACGACAGCGTCGTTAAAAATAACAGAGCACGCCTCCTTTACACTCACCCGTACTTTTAACCCTGCACACCTTTGGATGGACTCATACGCCCGCGAATGCCGTCGTAATTATTATATGGCGCGATGTACACCATTGGTCCTATAAATCAGTCGCGAAAAAAAAAAAAAAAAAAAATAGACGAATACTTGGGTAAATCGACCGCAGCCCCTGGACACCGGCGAGCTGTTCGACTCGTACCGCGAGTGCGGCGGTGGCGCGGCCTCAGTGAGCGACGCCGACGCCGAAGCCTCGCCGTCCTCGCCGTCGAACAGCAGCAGCTGCTTGACCCCGGACTCGCCCTCGCCACCCCCGACCACGGCGGACTTTTGCGATTTTCTCCAGCTGCAGCTCGAGCTCGACAGCGGCGTCGGCTCGGCGAGCTCCGTCGGCAGCAGTTGCTCCACCGACAAGGTCATCGGCAGCGCGGCCCTCGCCCACCGCAACGACGACGATGACTCGTCAGCCACCCTCACCGGGGGCACCGATGGGCTATCCGCTGCCTGCGACTCTGACCCCGGGGGTGGCGAGGCAGACCTCAGTCGGCTGACCCTCTCGGACCGGGAGCAGCGGGAGCTGTACCACGCGGCTCGCATGATACAGAAGGCGTACCGCAACTACAAGGGCAGACAGAGGCAAGAGGAGCTCAAGAGGAACGCCGCGGTCATCATACAGCAGTTTTACAGGCGGCACAAGCAGTACGCGTACAACAGGTGAGCTCGTCGCACATGTACAAATGTCACGTTTTATTTTTGTTTATAAAAATCAAATACATGGGGTACGAAAATCACCCCCAAAGTGCAGGGGGTAGCATAGTTACTCCGAGCAACGAGTTAAATGATGATCCGTGATGTATGATTGAACGAGTGTCCGAGCTTTTTCAACTACCTTCCCGTTTCCTTTGATAAGAAAAGAAGCCCAAGTGACCCCGTCCTAGCGACAAAGCTCCCTGAAGCTTGGAATCGAGAGCAGAGTCCGTGGTATTTAATACACGTGGCCAATGGGGGGAGGGGCTCGATCATCAGTTATTCGAATGAAGGTAGAGTCTCGACGGTCTCGTTCCGAAATAAGTCACGATTACGTACGTAGGTACAGGCCAACTTAACGATCCGACCGTCGCAGCTCGGCTCATCCTCGTTCTTTCTGTGTCCTCCGGCTTGCCCCCGTGGGCTGTAGGTGTATATGTATGCCCTCTCTGACCGGAGAGACAGCGTTGAACTTTTAATTGCCATCGTAAATAATTCGGAAACTTTGCGGGTGGCCCTCCTCCTCCTCCGGCCTTCCTTCCTTCCTTATACCCCCGGCGAAGACGACTTGCTCGTCGCGCGACGCGCCGAATACGGAATTAAGCTGGCATTAAATTAATACGACTTTGGGTGCACCTCCCGAGCTCCGCGCGAGACGTCGGGGATCCGTCGCGGCCGTTGTTGCGCGAAATGAAACGCTCAAGGAAAGAGAGAGAAAGATGGGCTACTTGTCTCTCTCCCCACCCCTCCCCCGTGTACGACCTCTTGATGTCTTTTTGCCCTCTTCCCTCCTCCGTTGCATTTCGGACTGCCTCGAGTTTTCGCTCCTCCTTCCCGTTTGAGAGCTCCTCGACCTGGAGATCTCGGACGCTTTCTTTCGCACGGAATATTAAATGACACTGTTCATTATGCAACTTGACCCCTCCCCCCCCCCTACCCCATCTAACTCTCTCCTTTTCCGTGTATGTACAAAAAAGTAGTAAAAGACGAGGCTTCGAAGCCCTAATTTAAGTAGATCTGTGCCGGGTGTTGGTCGGACAATCGCTTGCGTGTCTCCTTTGATGTTTTGAACTGACAAGGAGACGGAGAGCCATTATTTATGGTCCAATGTTCCAGGCAAGCGACAAAAGCCGCGCTGGTGATACAGAGCAACTACAGGAATTACCGGGCGAGACCGGGTCCGGCCGGCAGCGCGCGACAACAGGCGGCGAACCAGCAGAAGGCGCACCAGGCCGCTCGCACGATCCAGCAATTTATGCGCCAATCGAAAATCAAGTGAGTCGTCTTCTTCTTCTCTTTTTTTTTTCGTTTTTATTCCATCCTCGTTTGCTGGGTTGGCCGCCCCAGAAAAAAAAAGCAATGACCAGTTGTTACGCTCCGTGGGAGCAATTTTCGAGGAAATTACCTCGATTTGGGGCTCCATTCTTTTTTTTCTTTTTTTTATATACATGTACACTCGTGCATGTAGACACACTGAAAATTGAAAGTCCAAAGATGAGAGAAAAAACTCACCAACTAATAAAATTGACTTGACATTGACAAATACTAATGTTCCTTGCTTCCTTTCTAACAAAGCGGCCTGTCGTGGGACGACTCGCGACCGGTAAGTAACATCACTTTGCTGCACGTTTCAATGTAGAAAATTGCACGCCCCATACCCTCTAGTGAAGAAACAAAAAAAAAAAAAAAAGATAAAAATTCAATCTCCAAGACAAATACAAGACCACGCAAATATCGGAGGAGGAACAAAAGAAAATAGAGTACACGTATATAGAATAGGAGAGCGAGGAATAATAAAAATACTAATGTAAAACCGAATGGAAACACACGGGGGAGGAAGATAGATACGAGAGCGGATAGTGTATACGTAGTAGTCGAAAGTCACGTATCGCGTGGCGCTTAAAATTACGTTCCATCCCTCATTTCTCTCTCTCTCTCTCTCCAGCACCGGCGGTGAGCACGAAACATAAAACGCGCGAGCGCATGTATACGAGGGGAAGAATAAAAGCTGTATCGGAAACGAAGAACAAATTATGCTTGATTCGCTTTTTATCGAAACTCCTGCCGGCACGTACACATACGTTTTTGACGTATCATTCCGGGAGCTGCATGTTTTTTTTTTAATAAATAAAAAAAAGACTCGGCTGCGTTTTGTTTGCCAAAGAAAATATTAATAGGTAATTTCACGTCGCGTTTTTTCGCGTCGCACCGAACTCTGGGTAATAACAAGAGGACGATAGCGATCTCTCGTGTTTTACATCGGGAGAAGAAAAAAAAAAAAAATACTCTTTCCTCTGTTGCAGGCACATCGCGGAGCAAATGAAAAAAAAAAAAAAAAAAAGGTTATTCGATTTTGTGTATCTGCGGCGCGGCACACTTTCGGGCTTTCATATTTCGTCACTTTGCGTAATCAGAGGAGTGCTACGGTCGGCGATATTGGAACATCCCGGGCTTTCGAATAATTTTGGATGCTCTTTTACTCCCCCTCTCGTGTTTTTTTTTTTTTTTTTTTTTTTTTTTTTTCACATAAACGATCGCAACGGAGAAAATTGAGGTCGAGCTCCCGGAAATAGTTTACAGGAAACCCCCCCCCGCTCCGCTGAAAGGGAAAATTAACATTCCACCTTCCACTAGAGATAAATGGGAAAATTTGATTTTGAAATCCGAGCCCCGTCTCCCTAAGTGCAGCATAAATTCTCCCGCGCGCGTCACGAAAAGCTCTTCCGCGATCCGAACGAAAAAAAAACACGCGCCACCCATGAAATGCGCCGATAATAAAGCCGGAGCAGTTTGATCCATCTCTCACGAGCCGGTGGACCCCCAAAAGTTTCTCCTCCTCTTCCCATTATAGGTGGGCTCTTGTATTTTTCACACATGGAGGTTGGCACGTTCATGCATATGTATGTATCTGCGCGTGTGCGTTTCAGACTGCAGAACGCCAGGGCCGTCGAAAACGGGAGCGGGAGGCAGGCGCCGGGTGCCACTTCCAGGGTGGCTGCTGTCCCCCCAAGCTCGCGCTCATCTAGCCCAGGTGCCAGCTTGGCAGCCGAGCCGACCACCTCCTAGTCAACTGCCTGCACCGGCACAATGATGCGGCTACCACCGGAGATCACCACCAGCGTCATTCTCGAGCAGCTACGGTCGACCGATGGCCCAGCTTGGACCGCTAATCCATGCGTCTCTTTTCTCTCTCTCTCTCTTTCGATCTTTTTCCGTCTTTTATATATATATATATACCCACTCGCTTGTTCCGTACTTCCCATTGTTCGTCTTCATTTAGTTTACGAATTCGGGCTGATTGGTCCATTTTTTTTTTTCATACGATCCGTGGGTAAATTATTTCCATCGATCGGCAGTCGCGCGATTCTCGCTAGAGAACGAATAATGATTATAATGAAGAATAAAAAATAAAATAAATAAATAATAGACTGATTAGGATCAAACGTTATCTCGCACTTGAATTTCAATCACTGCAACTAAACGTATCTTCTCTCTCTCTTTCTCTCGTGAAACGTTGTATAAATATATTATATTACATGAAAACGACTAAACGAGTTATATCGCGCTTTAGCTCGAGTACCTTGTATTTTGCTGCAGCAGCGCGTTTGTATAGGTGAAACGAATATTACATAAATATAGCTGAGCTTGGAAAACATCAACACCGACGTTGACGTAATATGTGCGCTCGTATCATTACTTATTGATCCGCTTTAATCAAAGGGATGAGTCTTTTGTTTCTCGTATCATTTTCGACTTTTTCTTCTTCGTATTTTTCTATAAAGCGATAAAACCGATAGATCGACCGCACTTTTGAGGATAGTAACTTTTTTATACGGATTAAAACAAAAAAGGAAAAAAAAAAAAAAAAAAAACAATACACACGTGCACGACGGTAGTATGACCATATATGTTGTCGTACGACACTAGAGTATCTACGTCATATATTACACTTTTCTCCCTTACTTCGTCTTCTACGTTCCTATACTCTTTTCCTCCTCCTTCGTCAAAGGTGGGAGGGTCGAGTGAAAGGGAATTTCGGTATAGGTGTTACTCTTTACACGATTATCCTTCAAGTAGTTAGTCCCAACCGAGCCAAGAGGCGCGCGTCGAGCTAATAAACTCTCGCACCCTCGTCGGCGAGGCGGATAATGATAAAACTTACAAAAAAAAAAAAAGCGTAATTCAAGTACCTGACAAATTTAGTGACTTGGGGCGGAACAAAGCCGCGATCGTTTTTTTTCTTTCTTTTTTCTTTTTATTCCCGCGAGCTACGGTGTAAATAATTGCGAGCGAGTCGCCAGATTTTTCTTTTGCTTTGGTACGATTTTTTTTTTTCTTTTTCGTAGTCGAAACAGGTTGAGTGGAAAAAAATCGACTACAGTCGTCGCTCGGTTTGCGGAGTCGATTATAGTAGAGGTAATTTGTATACTGTGCGAAGACGCATCCCTTTGAACGGAAGTGACGCGACGAAGAAAAACCGATTCGTAGCTTTTGTCAAAAATGTTTCAAAGAGCAGTTTGATCTATGAAGAGAAGAAACATCGCGCCGAGGGCACTTGACGTTGCGTAACATCCAAGTCGAACGAGTGTGTTCAAAATACGTTTGTAAGATAATCGATGTGAAAGACAAAACGTTTTTTTTTTTTTTTTTTTTTTCTACTTTTTGTGTCGTCGAAAGACTTGACACACACTTGTTTTTTCTTTGCGTGTAGTGATATTCTTATAGAAAAGGCAAAATGTCGTGTTTTATCATTTGTAAGTGATGTGATGCATTCGTTTTTTACGTCCAGACGATTGTTAGCGAGCAGTTGGTATTTTATATGATTCATAGTTTAATTGTTAATTAGCGTGTAATTTGACGTTTACATTGTTCGATTGTTGAATTTAAAGAGTAATTTATACCTGCACGATTCATTATTACTTTGTTACGAGGTTGTGCCTGATGTATGGGGTGGTTTTCTCTTGAGTGGAGAAACTAGAAAGAAAAAAATAATAATAATAATAATAGCATTGTTTTTATACGTTCGTCTCGAGAGATTTTATAGAATTAAGATTACGAAAATTGTACAGAACCGAGTGTGTGAAAATTGGATTGATAGAGTTTTCATTTTAAATTCATACGGCGCATTAGACCCATGTGTTCACGTGGCTCAAAGTACTTGGAAAAAAAGTTATACCAAAGAGCTGCTGAAAAGTGTTTATTTTTCCGAAGCTGCAAAAGTGCAATGAAAAACCGTACGAGACTGGAAACAAGTGAACCACTTTGTTTCGCGAATCGTCCAAGTTGCTTGTATTTTTTTTTACTTTGGCATCCCGAGATTAAATGGAGCGTCCGAAAAATTGGTGCTAAGCGAGCGGGCACTGAAAACAATTTCTTTGTACACAAACTTTCGACAGAGGCTGGATATTTTGCGTTTGCGGGCTTCTCATGTATCGAAGGAAGAATAAAGTAACTACGATTTAATTGCTCAGTGGCGAAAGGACGTAGCAAAACTTTTAGACAAATTTTTTCGTACAAGTTGCTTTTGTGCAGTGCAGTACGACGACACGGATACATGAGTCTGAAATAATTTTCGATATCTCACGTGCATTTATCACTTGTGCATGACGCATGGTAAAATTGAAAACTTTCATAAAAGGAGTCGTAGCATTTATGCGCTTGATACTTTTAATAGTAGCAGAATTTTAACTTACGATTTTTACATCGGTCCATAGAGATGATACGCCTCTTACTTATATAAATACGGGAGTGGGTGACAAGTGTACATTGTAAAATCTTGATTCTAACGAAATAAACATAATTAAGTCTTTTTTTTTTCTTCATCCTCGTAAAATGAGGTCTCTTCGCAAGTTCAACAAAAGTTATACATATTGCATCTTAAGGTTAGAAGGAAGGACAGAGTGTATAAAGATATAGAGTAACGAGCTTTAGAAAAAAAATAAAAAAAACGAAAAACCATTTTATAAATCATATAAACGCACTCGCGTCAAGTATATACACGTAAAAAAAAAAAATTTACGAGTTTTCCGATATTTTTGCAATCAATATGAAAAAAAAAATTTAATAATAATAAATAAGCGCTCCCAGACGAGTCGAGTCACGTTGGAACGGCGAGGGAGGAAGCCAGACGTGTGCTCTAAAGTCACGTGTAACGAAAAAGCGTGTTTTCGGGGCAACTTTTTAATAATAGTTAATGTAAGGGTGGACCGGATGAGCTGCGAGAGGAGGAAGAGGTTTCGGAATCTTGTACAGAGATTTTCAATACGTAGCTTACCAAAAGTGAAATAAATGAGGAAAAATTTACTTTAGGCGCAAAAACTTTAAGCGCTAGATTTTCGCCTCCACTTGGAGACTTTATAAACAAAAAAGAAAAAAAAATCGGGGATCGCGGATGAACAAAAGTACATTAGCACATACGCTACAAAGGAGAAAGCTCGTGATTGATTATTAGAGAGAAAAAAAAAAAAAAAACATTTGTATGTACAGCTGAGATTTCGCGAGGAGGGAATTTACGGTTTGGCACATCAGCCGAGAGCCTCGCGATCCCGTTGGTTTCGGAAGAAGGTAATTTATATTGTGATAAATCAATGGTGATCCGAGAAAGTATATTGTTCTGGCCACGTCGCGAGGGTGAGATGGGCGCGAGAGTCGTGCGGTTGAGGATAAGCCGATGGAGGGCAAAATCGAGGAACTGGCCGGGCAAATGGGCAGGATGAGGAAAAAATTTGAGGAGTTACGTACACCCTCGTGTTTACGTCGGTTTTTACTTCCTCCAACTTTGCTCCCGAGAATCAAGTGAAGACTACGAAGATTTGTTTCTCTTCGCTTTTTTTTTTTTTTTTTTTTTTTTACCGATNAGATTTAAGATTAACAAGAAGATTTTTGAATAAAATTCAATGAGTAGGTATTTTTTGTTTTTTCGATCGTGCCTTCTTTGGTACAACAAGTAATGGTCCATTTTATAAATCCACCTCTAGTTTTCTCTTCAATTAAGGGATTCAAAAGTAAAAGGGAAAAGCTTGTATGGTAGAAATCTTGGCGTTGAAAAATTCTACAACCGTCCTGTCGATCTCAAAAAGAATTCCGCCAGATTTCTACGTTTTTTATTTTCGAACAATCAAGACATTTTAACAATTACTCTGACATTTTAATCAACACTTTTACTTTGTTTTTTAATCAACTCTTCGTCAAAAGGGGAAAACGTTAAAGCATCAAAATAAAAAAAAAGGTAAGACTTTGTTAACGTGATAATTTATAGGAAAACAAAAAAGCTTGAATTCTCGTACACCGGGGATTATCTTACCCCACGCGGTACTTGTTTTCATTCAATGAATTAGACACGGCATTGATTTTATCTCCCAATCGTCTAAAACGAAATATATCTGTTTCTTTAAAATTGTCATGTTGAATATTATTGTTTTACACAGTCATGTATGTGTGTACACTCACATGTGTAATTATTAGACCACTATATTTAGTTAATGACAGAGTGTTGGTGAAACGTTACATAAACATAATAAAAAAAAGTGTAGAGAGCGCGAGGTAGTGAGAAAGATTTTTAAAAATTTTACATAAGAGATGATAGGAGAGCGAGGGTAAGCGTAAGTAAAGAAATTTTCAATCATTGTTAATAAATTAATCGATCAACTTCGATCCTATATTAATATATACTTGAAAAGAAAATAAGAGATGAGTAAAGGCATAGTTACTATTATCAAATACAAACTAATATTCATATTTTTGCTTATTACACGATTAAGAATCTAACAATGAGATATAGCAACTTGAAATAACATATAGGAGAGGCTGGCCAATTTTTCCGTTCTGGAGCTGCGAATGACCCCGTTTAACCTTCACAAGCTTTTGTAACAAAAATTTTGTTTAAATGCACACATAATGCATCCAATCAATTTGAAATTTGTATATATTATGAATTTTACTTAAAAACAAAAAAATTACGTACGACGTTCACTTACGAAATTTATTGAATCTCGCGTATACGTGACGCCATTCGCAGCTAGAGCACGTATGGCTTTTAGGAAAAAAGTGTAAACAAAGCCCGATTTTTACTATTAAAAATTATAAAGCAAATACCGTCATCTTTCCGAGATTTATATGAATAATAAATAATCATAACGCAGTATTTTTCGATTACGGGCCGAAACTAGACTCGTGCTCAGTTAGCGTGGAAATAAATAAATATATATATATAGAGAAAAAGAAGGAAATGAAGAAAGATAAATAAACGGTGACACAAAAAAAAAAGTATACAAATATAGTTTTTTCCGTAAATAAAACTCATTATCCTTACGCTTAGTGAAAAAAAGCTAGAAGTGATAAGCCAGAGAGAAATGAGAGTTCTACAAGTCCATTCGTTATATTGAAAATGTAAACGAGGAAAAAAAAAAAAAAAAAAATTGCTACTATAGGCGCTTCGAAGACGCGTAATTCTTAATAGTCACTTTGACCGATTGAAAAAGAGGAAATTTTTAAATCTACACTTGAGAAAGCCAAGTGTCAAAGCCGACGACATAGAAGCCGCATGGCCTAATTGCTGCCACTTTAATTAATAATTACGTGAATTTACTCTACTTATAGACCAGAGATCAGATTTTATTACCTCTCCACTTCTATAACGTACACTTAAAGCTACTTAATGGAGGAAAACTGAGAAAGGAAATGCGAAAACACAAAGGCGAGACGGATGTAATAATAGAGGGAGGACGATCGAGGCGCGATTGTTATGAGAAAAGTGATAAACGGGAGGACAAATGGAGGCGAACGAGTACTTCATCTTTTCAAGTAAACTTTGCATTTTAGAGCCAGAGAGAGGAATCTTAGGTAGCGAGGAAAAACAAATTATATGCGTAGAGATCGACTATATTTACACACTATTTCTTCGAATCGCAGCAGCAGAGCAGAGGGGGAAAACAATTGATAATCCGAGCTAGACTTTAAATCTCCAACGCCCAGTTTCCGATGATTTAATTTTTAAGTAATAGGTGCGCATAAAATGTGACTCGTGGTCGTTGCGGAGCGTCGAAATCGTCACTTGTCCCAATAATGGGCTCGCATCAGCGCTGAAAATCTTCGAAAAAAAAAAAAAAATATAAT